CTACCTCCTGAATAAGAGTGAAGGACCTACAATGGATACGAACAATGCTTCTCAAAAGAATTTCAAACTATTAAAAATTATGTAAAATACTATGCCAAATCACTTAATAAAAGGAGAAATGGTCAAAACAACCTTCTGAAGTTTTACCTCACACCCAGAAAATTGTCAAAGGTGATTGAACATGAGAAAAGTCAGTGTTGGGGAGGGGTCATGGAAAGACAAGCCCAGAATGTTAGTGGAACTGTGAATTGGCCCAGTCATTCTGGAAAGCAATTTGGAATTAAGTGAAAAGTGACTGAATTTTTAGTTAATATCCCTTGACCCAGAGATTCTACTGCTAGATGGAAGTAAATAACAAAAAGAAGGGGTCAATGCACCCTAAATTATTTTAGCAGCACTTTTTGTGGTAACAAAGAACTGGCAACAGAGTACATGCCCATCAACTATGGACTGGTTCAACAAACTATGGTACATGGATATAATAGACTATTACTTTGCCGTAAGAAATGGTGACTGAGCAACACAGAGAGGCATGAGAAGAGAATTGAACTGATGATACAAAGTGAAGTAAGCAGAATCAGGAAAACAGTATACACAGTAACTACAGCAAAGTCAGTGGAAAGAACAATATGAAAACGATTGACACTAAAATTATAATGACCAAACTTGGCTCCAAAGAAGAGATGTGAGAAGATGCATACCCCCTGCATCTTTCCAGAGGTTGGAAATATCAAACACTGCATGTAATGCCAGATTTTTTCAATATGTTGGCTAGTTTTGCTGACTTTTTTTCTTCTACTTTTTATTCTTTCATATATTAAGGATGACTCTCTGGGAGGGGGTAGGAGAAGAGATGTGGTAGGAAGTGTAAGTGATATGAAAACAAAAAAACAAAGATTTCTTTTTTTTAGCAAGAGAAAAGGACATATAATCACCTATAGTAAAAAGTAGCTACTTGGCATTTACCTGTGTTGCCTTCCTCTGTTCTCTTAACTGTCAATTTGGACAGTTATTTCACCACAGGTGGTCATCCGAGTCTAAGATCCAGTACCATGAAGCTTGAGTGAGGGCTAAAGGGAAGGGAGTTTTCTGGCAAAACCTCCCAAGGATTTAATCAGTGAACAGTACTAGCTTACTGGTGAAAGATCCCAGATTTTGTTCCCCCTTTCACCTTCCAAGTTGAAGTCTGTGTTCTGTCTATCAGAAACTTCTCCGTCCCACCCACGAGTGCCCTTATGTTTGCCAGACACATGTGGGAGAAGAAGGGCCTTTCCTGTCTTTCTCCTGGGGATCAGCCAATCTTCAGACTGTGGTTTTTTGAGTCCACTCTCTGTTGCATAGCTATTTCCCACACCCAAGAAAAAAGCCAGTCAGATATAGCAAAGTGATTTGATATATTGATACTAGGTCTTGAGGAATCACCAGTGTATCCAGAGCCCCTATATTCTCTGTAAATCAACTGATAACTAACTGTATAACTAACTGTATGATGCTTATTCCTCAGGTGATTGCAATACGCATAGATTGCACTGACTTCCTATATAGAATTTTCATGTATAAATGTCCTTAGATGAGTCTTCATTTTCTAAGATTTGAGGAATAGAGGACATTGATGAGCACCAGGGCAAACCTATCCCTTTGAGTTCATTCATACTTATGTATTTATAGAGACCACCTTCTTTTTCCATTCCATGATATATATGCAAATACCTATTTGGTGTTATATTCAGAATGAAAATAAAAATTAATTTTAAAAACTTTTCAGATGATTATTATTATGAGTTGCCAAGGGAGACAGAGTTAAATAAGAACACAATCTCTACCCTTAAGAATCAAGGTGCTGGGGGAGATACAAAAATAAATAATTCCTGCCCTCAAGGTTCTTACAATCTAGCAGAAATGATAAAATAACTATGCAGATAAATACAATGCAAAGTACAAAGTAAGTGCATTCAAGGAGTACAGAGTCCTAGGACGTGAGGCTAGAGTATAGGCTCTACATGTAATGAACTAGAAGATCATGGTGATGCAGGGTTTTTTTTTTTCCTTTTCCTTTTATAAGAATGTATAGATCCAGGTTATAGGATTGTGGAAAGAGGTTTGACCTGAAAGCCAGGAGACTTAGGTTCCTATTCACCTTTCCAACAAACTAACTGTATGACTGTAGTCTAGCCATTTAAACATCCTTCCTCAATTTCTTCATTTGTAAATGTGAGACAGTTGGACTAAATTATGCTGGAGTTCCCTTCTAGCTCTAAGCTTCTGTGATTCTAAGTGATCAGACCTTTAGTTTACCCAAACAATATTTCTATACAGAAACATTGGACAGTTTGGTTTCTCCCCCTACCCTACCCCAAAATGCAATTCAAGAGATGTTTGTTTGTTTGGTTTTTGGCTAGGTGACGGGGTTAAATGACTTGCCCAGGGTCACACAGCTAGTAAGTGTTATGTATCTGAGGCTGAATTTAAACTCAGGTCCTTGTGAATCCAAGGCCAGTGCTCTATCCACTGCACCACCTAGCTGGCCCCAAGACATGTTTTGAAGCATAAAAGAGCCCATATATGTGGGAGTTTTTAAGAGTGCAGTTCTTCAATTGATTTTATGTTTTCTGTTTTTTAGCTTCTTTGGTTGCTGGAGATAAAGATTGATCAAATTGTTGTAGAATGTCATAGGTAGAAAGAATATGTAGAAGGGCTTGTATTTGCTTACTCTTTCATTGCATATTTTGAACATAAGTACAATGAAATGCAATCCTTGTATAAGTTCACAAATGGAATATAAATAACACCTTGCTATTTTGATACCATAGTGGTAGAACTTAGCTGATTCTAATAAATGACTAGTAATACATATGGTTTTTATGTAATCAGAATTATTCCTTTTAATAAGGTTCTTCTGTAGGTAATGATTGTTCTCAAAAGGCCAGAAGACAAATCTGCTTTTAGTGACAAAGATAAATATGTTTAAACTAATTGCTATGCACAGATCACTGCTGAAAGGCAGACTTTTGGGTGATGACATAAACCTCTTAAGGAAGATGTATAGAACTTTCTACCTTTCAATGATGATTAAATGTAGATTAGAGTTTTTCATTTGAAATGTTGATGAATTCTATAGCCCCTCGTAATATCCAAGAATTATTTTCCATCCCTGTCTGGTGATGAATCCAATATCTAGCTAAGTCTATCTAAGGCTTCATTCTCAGAATTTCATGTATCAGTCAGTCAGTCGATAAACATATGTTCAGCACCTGCTATGTGCCAGACACCATGCTAAGCACTGTGGATACAAAGAAAGGCAAAATACAGTCCCCTCTCTTAAGGAGCACACTATCTGGTTGGAGCCAATATGCAAATAACTGGTACAAACAGGCTATATACAGGATAAATTGGAAATAATCAACAGAGGGAAGGTACTAGGATTAAGGGTGATCTGAAAAGGCTTCCTGTAGAAGATGATATTTTATCTGGGGCTTAAGGGAAGCCAGGAGGCAGAGATAAAGAGAGAGAGCATTCAGGCATTGGGAACCACCAGGGAAAATGTCCAGAGTAAGGAGATGAAGTGTCTTGTTTAAGGAACAGCAAGGAGACCAGTGTCACTGAATCTAAGAATATGGGGGGGGGGGGATAGGGCAAGGAGATTATAAGATGTAAGAAGATTGGAAAGGCTGTGGGGTTGAGAATGTTATGAAGGGCTTTGAAAGCCCAGCAGAGGATTTTATCCCCAAGTATGGAAGTGATGGGTTATGGGAGTGACGTGGTCAGACTTGTGTTTTTTAAAAAGACGCTTTGACAGCTGGGTGGAGAATAGACTGAAGTAAGGAAGGACTTGTGGCAGACAGACCCAGCAGCAGACGTTTGTAGTCCAGAGGTGAGGTGATGAGGGCCTGGCAATGCCGGAGGAGAGAAGAGGGCACATACAAAAGATGTTGCAAAGGTAGAATCATCTTGGCAAAGATCTCATATGAGGGTCAGGGGTTAGGAGTGGTGGTGAGAAAGAGTGAGGAGTTGAGAATGACACCTAGGTCGTGACTAGCAGAGTCTTGGGGGTTTGGAAAAGTAGAAACTTCAAACAAGAAGGGCATATGGTTGAATTGTCACTTTAGTCATGTGTATTAGTTTCTCCATCTGATGGTAGTGCCTTTGTTGTGTAAATGAATTTTGAGGAATGCTTTAGGTATAGGTCTTCCTTCTCTCTCACTCTATTAGTTAACTCGTGGAGGAATAAAACTTCCTGTACATCTGGTTTAATATACAATAGCTAGAAATGGAATCAAGTGCTTGAAAAACCTTTTCTGAAAAGTACTATGTAATATAGTTGCGTTACTGCTTTTCCTTTCTTCAATTTTATTTTACAACCAGAATTTTCGTGAGATTGATTTATATCATGTGCTATTGCAGATAATGCTGAAACTTGAAAAGTGAAAACACAGAAAACCTTGAGTCATAGAAGAAATAAATCAGTCCACTTGAGCAGTATCTAAACTGCTGAACCGAATGGTCTACTTTTTCCTCATTTCTTACAGATAGATGTTAACTTTCATTATTTCCAGATCTTTAGTGATTTGTCTATGAGCTTACCCTCCAAGCAAAAAGCATTCTTGTGTTTATTGATTTTTCATTTCAATGCTTGTTTCTAAGTTACCTCATTTTGTCTTCCCGATAGACAGGTGTTATTTATCCCATTTCGGGGAAACTGAGAACTTTCTTAAGGTCATGTTTGTAATTAGTAGCAAAGCAATGACAAAAGATCTCATTTCTGCCTCAGGTTACTGTACACTATATCATTTCTCAATTCCTGGCCATCACTCTCTCAAAGTTTAAAACTGGGCTGACAATATAGGACTTTTTACAAAAATTTATATGTTGATCAATTCTCTGTTTCATTGGGCTATTCCAATATTACTGGCTGTAATTAGACAAGTGTAAAAGACTTTTGTAGCAAGTGGGTTGTAATTAATGGAAGGCATCAATCTTTTTTCCCCCGTTTCTTTTTGCAGGCAATCTTTGGCAATCTCATATTACCCAGTTCCAATCTGTGGTCTATACATAATGCAGGCTACAGAATCTCCAATGCCACTGCCAGTGCCCAGAAGCCTACCAGTCTGCCACAGAAAGTGGTGCCATCTCCAAATTCTTCCTCACCTCTGGTCTCCAAACCCCCACCCAATAACAAGCAGGTACTTAGGAAGATGTCATCTCAAAGAGTTTCCAAGTAAGTTTTTTTGTGTGTCAATATCTTGTCTAGGTCATAGTATTGTATCACTAAAATATTATAGGATTATTGTCCTTCCTTCACTATGCCTCAAGACAAGACTGTTGTTTTAAGGAGAGAGTACTTAGTCTTTACTAAATCCTTCCTGGTGCCATTCACTGTCAATACTCAAGCAATCTACGAGAAATTAGATGTATTACTTCTGGTATGTTCATAATTGGTTATTCATCTTTTTTTGTTTTATTTTGTTAGATATATTTTAAGTTATGTTCCTTATATCTGCCCTCACTGGTTTTTAGGCTGCTCCAGGATTGAGACTGTCTGTTATTTCATTTGTAACTTCCTGCTGCTGTGAATATGTGGGTGCTCCATGACTAGTACTGAGGGACTAATTTTGCTGCATCACCACAATTGAAATCAAATAAGAACAATCTGGACATCTGAATTTCCAGAAATGGAAGGGCATGCTTACTTTGACAAACTTTTCTACAGTCTAACTCTTTTATGTTTTGTGGAAAAATCTGTCTTTTGTATGCTTTTTAACGGGTAGATATGGACCTGGATGTAAATTAGATGAATTCATTTAATTGATCTTAGTTTTAACAGTTTTTGTGAAATATTCTGTATCTTTTATAGGATGCATTTAATACCTTAAAAAGAGATAGTTTCAGTCTTAAATCTAATTCCGGAAGGCTGAATCCCCACTTCCAACCTTTCTGTCACTAGTAAATACAAATTTGGGTACTATTTCTTTTCTGTTAGCCTTCACTTTTAAAGTAAGGATCTTTTCAAAGTGTCTTTATGAAACATGCTTTTCCAACAGTATATTTTCCTTGTGAGATTTTCTTTGTTCCCCTAATGTTTCATTAAGGTCTCATGTTTACTAGTACTTAGCATGATCAACTTTAGTTGCCCACAAAGACTCCTAGAACCCAGAGAAAGAAACTGCTGCTTCTTCTCTTTTGTATTTGATTCAGATTCATCATCTGAGTCAAAAGCTGTCCTTTGTGGCTATTGAATTATATTATTAAATCACCACACAACCCAAGCAAAGCCAGAATCCTGGACTTGCATGGTAATAGCTTTCTTGGACACAAATAGTGTTTACTGGCCGAGCTCTACAGGGAGAGCACTGAAATGGGAGTTGAGTCCTGGGTTCTAGCCCCAGTCATGCTGTTAAGTGACTGTGTGGCATTGGGCAAGTCACCCTTGGACCTCAGTTTTCACCACTATAAAATGAGGACGTTAGGCTAGAAGGCCTCTTCCAGATCTTAAATCTGGTTCTCTGTGAGTTCCAAGGCAAGATTAATAAAGACACTGAAATTCGTAGATGAAGGTCACTGGTAAAACTGGGAAGGAACTCCAACATTCTTTGCCAAATCCCTTTTAGTGTTCATACCAGATTATCTTTAAGAGCATTTGAAAAGCAGACATTTAGCTCGTAGGGTTAGTGTGTATGTGACTTTCAGGTCTGACAGGTTGGTCTCTCTTGGTGTAATCCTGGTCTATTGTAAGGTAACCCGTACTCCTGGAAGTGATAGACTAATTGTGCTAGTGAGTAGGTGAGTTCCCGTACCGCACAGCGGGGCTTTATATTTGAAGGTGCTGGTGTACTGTACTCATTTCTTGGCACTAGGAATGTTTATCCTCCTGAGATGGAATTGCAGCTCTTTGGACAAACTTTGCTTTGCTACATTTTTGTGGTTTCTTCTTTCTGACAAGCAGGAGTGTGGGAAAACCGGATACAGCTCAGCACCAAAAATGCAAAGAAGGGGGAAAAAGCAAAAGATTTCTTCAGAATTTAAGAAATATAATCTAAGTAGCAAAAGGCATGCTGTGAGGAGTCATTCCAAGAAATAGTTTCCTATTTGCCTTTAAAACTCCAATACAAGTCTCTGAAACCAATTCAGTGCTAATAGAGAACTTAAATAAATCTTTTTATTTGTATAGAACATAGAGTGTCTTACAATCCCACCATTTTCTCAGTGTTTTTCTCATCTTGCTGTCAGCTTCATCTTAGCTGCTTTTTATTGATGGACACACAAAGCTGCTTATTGCAGCAGCCCATCTCTAGGAAACTTATATTCTGTGAAACATGTCCAGAGAATGTTATTTCCAGAGGAATCTTCAATAGATCATTAAATCTGGAGCCTGATTAATAGCTGATGCTCAGACTAAGATGCCACAGCAGGAAGTTTTTATTTTATTGTCTCGTCTTTCTGCCTGAAAAACCTGCTGCTCCATTTTTTTGTGGTTGATTACTGCCCACAGTACAGCTCTGTAAAGAGTTCTCATCACTTGTGACTGGCTATGCCGAGTCACTCTCAGGAATTCTGAAGTTACGTCATGAGATTCAAACTAGTGAGAAATTGTAATTAGCTTTTGGCTTTATGAAATCCTGTACTTTCTGGTTGAATTTCAGACTTCTAACATAGAATTTGGCATATGACAAAAATAAAAGCAATTTCCAAAGGCACCAGTTTTGATTGTATTCACGATGATACATTTAGAGTGTAATACAACATAAAAGAAAGTCTGTGATTTGGAGGCTGGTGCAAAAGAAGTTGAGAATTAGGACAACTGAGTTTTATTTCTCTCTGATAATACACAATAAGCTCTATCTATAGGCTTCAATTTCCAGTATGTACAGAAAGAAGAAAAAGCAAAAGATTTTTATAAAGTTTAAGAACTATAATCTGACAAAACTGCACAAAAAAGCACTTTTCACATCGAATAATTTAATCAAAAGTCAAAAGAATTTGCTGCCTGCTCTGGTGAAGGCCTTATTTTAAATGAGCACATTATATTACATGCTTTGAACAAAATTTTGTTAATCCTTTCTGCCTTACTGTTATTCTACACCCCCTTCCTTACACTAGCCTTCCCCTCGACTTCCTGGCATGGCATCTCAGTCCCACACTTGTATTTCCTCAGGCTTAATCCAATTTTGTCAATTCCACAGTTGGGTTTATTAAGAAATTCACATTTCTCATTTTAGTAGTGCCTTTTACATTTTCTAGCTTTTCCTCTTTGATGTTTTGCAGCACCTCATAATTTAGTACCTTTTTCAAATCCTTTTCCTGAAACTATTTGTGGTATTTCTTCTAAGCACTTAGTTGTATTAGAACTACCTTTTTTTTTTTCAAATAATCTCCTTTTCAGAGCCAGGATCTTACTTTTTTTTTTTAAAGATGGAGAAAGAAGCTTGAATAAATTGGGGTGCTTAGTTGCTAGGCCTACAGGCAAAACCCAAATACCAAAGAAAAGCATGAAAGTTAGTCCCCCAAACTCTTGTTACTTGGGAAACTTTTCTGCCACGAGACATAAGAAAGAATATACATATTTCCTTGCTGCTCATGGAACCTTTGCAAAAAGTGACCATGTATCAGAGCATAAAAACCTCATAACAAATATGGAAAAGCAATAATGTTAAAGACATACTTTACTGACCATAATGCAATAAGAGTTAAATAAAGATCCCTTATAAAAAGGACTAAAAATCTACTGGGGACTAAATAACTTAATCCTAAAGACTTGATGGGTCAGCAAACAAATAATAGAAATAATAGACATCATGTCACAATTTTGGGAATGCAGCCAAAGTATAGAGGGAAACATACCTCTAAATACTTTCATCAACAGAAGAAAAAAAATTGATTGACAAATTGAACATTTAACAAAAAGGGGGGAAAAAACTCTACTAACACATTGTTAAATCCCAGATGCCAAAATAGAAATCCTCAAAATAAAAAAAAGACATTAATAAATTTTTAAAATTATATTGATAAATAAAACTAGGAGCAGGTTTTTTTAATAGACAAAACACTATGTAGTTCAAAAATAAGAAAAAAACAGATTTCAAGTATCAAGAATGAGAAAAGGAGAAAAAAATTAAGATGAAATATAGTATATTATTAGAAAATATTTGCCCCACTGTATGCCACTAAAACCAACACTTGCATGAAATAAAGGAATATTTACAAATATATAAAATACCTGTACTTTTAACAGAGTAAAAAAGAGAATTTAAACAACCACATCTTAGAAAAAGACATGAAGCAAGTCATAAATGAACACCCAAAGAAAAAAATCTCAGAGCTTAGATGGAGTCATAAGAAAATTCTATCAAACATTATGTGAACAATTAATACCAATAGTATACAAACTGCTTGCAAAAATTACAAAAGAAGGAGTCCTGCCAAATTCCTTCTTTGACACAGCTATGGTCTTGATGCCTAAACCAGGGAGAGTCAAAACAGAAAATAAAATTATAGACCAATATCCCTAATGAACATTGGTGCAAAAATGTTAAATAAACTATTAGCAAAAATGCTACAGTAACAGATCACTAAGATATAACCAGATTGGATTTAGTCCTGGGAAGTTAGGGTTGTCTTCAAATTAGGAAAACTATAAACATAATTGACAATATTAATAATGACAAAAATCATATGATTACATCAATAGATGCAGAAAAAGCATTTGACAAAGTACAATGCCCATTTGTGGGGTTTTTTTAAATGGAGAAAGCATAAGGATAAACGTATTTTTCCTTACTATGAGAAATGTTATATATCTAAAACCAACAGCCAGCACTAGATGTAATAGGGGCAAACTAGAGTCCTTTAGAGTAAGATCAGGGGTGAAGCAATAATAAACACTGTCATCACTCCTGTTGAACACAGTGCCAAAAATGCTCGCTATAGCAATAAGACCGAGAGAAGAAATTGAAGAAATCAACACAGATTAAGAAGAAGCAAAATTATTTTTTGCTGCAAAATCACTTTTTTTTTATAGCATGCCTGGAGAACCCTAGAGGGGCAACTAAAAATTAATTTTAAAATTTTTAACTTCTTCCAAGTTGCAAAATATAAAATCAATTGATACAAATCATCGGCATTTCTATATAATTCAAATAAAACCCAGTAGGAAGATATAGGGAAAGAAGGAAAGCAGGAAGAGGAGGGATTGAATGAGGAGGGAAGGATTGATTTGTTAAG